AGAGACACAGACACACAGAGTAAGGATAGGATTTATGGCAGTTTGTGTCTATGACTCTCTCTCTCTCGGATCTATGATACACATGTGAGTAGACATCACTTATGTATGTGAAAATTATCGTGATGTTTTAGCAGAGGAGTCCATGATGTTGAATACTGCTCATATATCGACCTTTTAAAAGAAAACCCATAGGAAAGCCTTTCCAAAAGACGACCCATAGAAAGTCCACACAGCAACACATTCATTTTTTTCAAAAAAACCGATACATTCACGTGTACTTTGCAAAACAGAATCAAAAAACCCTCAACTTCTCTACATTACCTTACCTTAACTTACCATATCTGAAATTCTCCGAACTTCTCTACATTACCTTACGTTACGTTATTGTATCTAAAATCCTGTGAAGTTCTGAACTTCTCCTCCTCTCAATACCGTACCTTGTTTTATTTAACGTGGTGTAATCTTAGCTGCTCTTGTCTGCCATACCTTACTATGCCTTTACTTATTCCACTATTCATTGTGTTGTAGTGTTCTAGCTTAGCTGACTGGAACTTAACATTCACGTCGTTAGTTCCAGTTAAAGTGGCCTTTTTCTGACTTCTCAGAGAAAGAGTATTTTCTCCGCTCTCATAGTTGTGTAACTAATCAAACGAACCTCATTACAGAAAATACAAAAAATATCAAAAGATTCTTAATTTTATGTTTTCTTTTTCTAAGTGGCGTGTTTTCGAAAATTCCTTTACATTCCTTTGATGGTAACGAGCCAAGTTTTATTTTTTGTTTACTGGCTGTATAAAAAAAAGGTTTCTAGGCGAGTCTGTCATCAAAAATGAAAAGAGTCAGTTATTGAAAAGGCCGTAGGATTCTATAAACACATATTCTAGCGATTCGGTTTTCTTTAAATAACAATAATAATAAACCGAAAAAAGAGGAACGGATTAATAAAAAATAAAATAAAATATTATTTTATTGCTTTCAACAGAGAGATTGAAAGCAGATTGAAGCTCAGCCGTTAGTGGCACTCAGGATGTAGCGACGATCAGCTTGATTCTGTTTGACGTACAGAGGATTGGGTCCCAGCCATTCCGCCTTATTCACAGAATATTAGATTGGCTCTAATAACGAACTGATCCTAGCGAAAATATCTTCAGGTATACATTCTCTGAAAGTTCAAGAGTGAATATTTTCTTCACATACGGGAAGCGTTACGCTATCGGTAATATTCATTCACACGGGAACCATAAAACATGAAAACGCTCTCAGTTTTCTTTTGAGATCAAATGCCAGTTATAGGTCGAATCATAATTGAGACATAACAATATATAGGAGAACTCCGAATATGAAGTTTTCTAAAATTTTTCTGAAGTTGAAGAAACCGTTAACGCAATTCCCATGACGAATAGAAGGATAACGCCAAGAACGCCATATTTTATAACGTCTGAGAAGCGTTAGAGCCCGAAAAGTTTTCTAAAGATGGTATAATGCATTAAAACTTTACATACATTATAGACGTTTATAAAAATAACGCATTCGAACGTCTTCAGTTCACACGGGGAACTCCAGAGAACGCGGTAAAAATCTCAAGTCGTGTAAAGCCTTAAAATGTGTGAAAAGAAGGTTTTTAAGGCCTTAAGGGCCCCCCGTCAGAAATGACGATTCTCGGATTTTGAGATAAGCACATATAAACATTGCCTGATGTGTCTACTTTCAGAATACATATGATTTGATACCATATTAATGGCTTTTGAGAGAATTTTCAGAGGTTTTCTGGAGACCCCCTGTACAAAAACTTAGTATTTTATTTCGAACTGACGCACTGATGTTATGAAAGTGATTTTTGTACAGAACGAATACCTAATGATGCTGAGTACAAAGCATGGGTGAACAAGCTTAGAGAGTCCTCAGAAGAGTTTCCTGAAACAGGTTTTCTAGGAGATCTTTGAAAAACCAGGTCGTGTGTAAAAAATTTCGAATAGGATTGTATTACTTTTTTCTGATAGCCCGAGATGTCCTCTTGAAGACGGGAGTCAAACGACACCTTGATTTTCCGCGTCTTGGGCGCTGTATCGGATGTCCTACGAGTCCCAGGATTGGCACCTGGTGACTATTGGTAGCCTTGAAAACGAATGGACTATGGGTAATCAATCATGCTGAGTCTCGTGGCAATATTTGCTTTAAGAAAAAGTTCTTAGAAACTAGCGAAAAAGGACTTTTACGAAAATTGGGGTTTTCAGGCTGTTTTCACTTAATATTTAAAAATTCACTGTTCGCTCAAAATACATCAGAACGAGTTCAGAACTTCAGAATGTAAAGTATTTACGCTGTTCTTTATCCTATTCACAGGATATCTAGAAAGAGCTTTTACAGACCTCTAAGGTTGGTTTAAGCTTTAATCTTGAACCAGAACGAAATCGAGAATATAAATTCCCATTATATCATTCTGAAACTTAAACTATCAAAACACAAAATCAATCCTTGCACGAAGCTAGGATCGAACACACGAACTTGATCTTTGCAGACGAACTGCAAAAATCAACTTCGCTGTTCTTTCCTATATTCTGCACAATGATTGAAGTTGTGCAATGACTCGATGTTATCCTTCAATGTATATTTTTTTTTTATTGTGCTTTTGTGTTTTGTTGAAACATTATTTGCTCTGATGATTTTTCTTACACAAGGACCAAGTTATATATTCATCTATTATCTACCAGTGTCGGTGATCGTCGATAGTCTACAGTTTGGATCAAGTTTGAGTTTAACAATCTACGGACCATATACGAGTGTAGTCACGTACAGTGGACAAGTCTATGATAACGGTGACTGAGATTTTACTTGTTAATTAGCAGAAAATCTAGAGTTTTTCTTCGGTTTCAGGCACTTTGAGAACGACAACAACCATGTCGACGACAATGAGAATATCACCAACAAGTGAGTGAAAACGTTTGCTTCCAAGAATCGTACTTTGACGGAAGACTAGGTTCTAACAACAGAACTTCATCAAAATGCTTGCATCTAACACACATTCAAAAGGACAACGGGTGGCGCAGAATAAAACGGACTATTTTGTTGCCTCTATAACTCTGTCGGTTTAAATCTGATCGGGCCCGTTTTTTCTTATCAGAATCGTCATTCAGTTGTCAACAAACTCATGTGTAGAGGAGTTTTGTAAACTGCAAAATGGCTAAGTTCTACACAATCTGTTCTTTTTCTTCAAAAAATATGCAACATTCTCTGCGCACTCACGCTCATGTACAGTGCATTTACTGTTTTCAGTATATTCAATAAGATATAAAAAATATACAACATGTAAGTGAAAAACATCATAGATGTGAAACAGCCGTCTAAAGAGACCTTTAAGCAAGGTCGAAACGCTTCACGGTAGCTTAAACCATCTACTGCTGGTAAATACTCATTCATTACCATCTCTTTGTTCCACCTTGCCATTGTTTTTCAAAATGTTTCAGTTTTTTTTCTCACAGAGATAAAGAGTGAGAGAAAGGCCCAAAAGAATTAGAAGAAAGTGAGTAGTAGAGAACAAAAATAATGGAACAGATATGCAATAATAGATAAAATTCAAGATTAAAAGTTGTAAGAAAATAAAAACACACTTGTTTAAATTAATAAGAAATGAGAGAGAACAGACAACAAACAGATAAAAAAGTATCGTTCATTATTCAGGGATATATTGTTACATTAGCAATAACTCCCGAACCATTTCCTCCCCATCTGATATAGAAACTGATATAAAGCAACGATCCTGGTGTTGTCTGAAATGTTTGACTAACATAGTCTAACCTGCCGACTATTCCATCTACATAACAATATGAGTAACAAATCCCAGAGCCGCTAGCTAGATGTGATGCACCAGACCATCCAAGTTGAGTTCCGTATTCAAAATTTCCATTCGTAAGGAGTTCCTGTCCACCACTCAATACGGAGATATTATCCAAATATGTATAACTCGGATCATTTCGAATACCAAATGTCAGTGTTTCATTCATACCTTGTGCAATGTACAGTACACTAACTTGAAAGAATAATGGTGCTGGAGAGGATGGATTGTAGAGATAGTAGATTTGTTGCCGTATAGTTGCATTGAGTGCTTCAAAATAAATAAAATATCGTATTTAGCCTATTTTAAATATTGAAACTGCAAACGCAATTTACATACCGCTTAGTGCAACCGTTGTTGTATTGATATTTGAGCAGTTCGACATTGCAGGTGTTATCACATTACTCTTTACCACTTAAAAAACGACTGAGAAAATGGAGATTTACGAAAAAGAAAAAATTTCCTGCTATCAATAGGAACACTGACTCTATTTCCGAACACTTATTTCACCCATTGTAGATGTTTGAATAGCGAAAAAGTGCCACGAGATAGATATGCTAAGAAGTGCCAAAAAGTGAAAGAAAAGGGAAGACATCTTATTTGATACATCCCTATTACTTATTTCCTACGGCTCTATTCAACTTATTCAACTTTCGTATTACTTTCATATAGATGTTTCACAACTTTTAAAGGTCACATTGCTCTTCTTCAACTATTCTGTATTGAAGAAACAATATAATATAACGGGTGGCGCAAAATAAAACGGACTATTTTGTTGCCTCTATAACTCTGTCGGTTTAAATCTGATCGGACCAGTTTTTTCCTATCAGAATCGTCATTCAATTGTCCACAAAACCATGTGTAGAAGATTTTTGTAAACTACAAAATGGCTAAGTTCTAAAACGAAGAAAAGAGGTCCGAAAATCTTCAACTTTCAAGCACAAAACCCTGTTTTTTCCAAAAATTAGCTTTTCACGTGGAGAGCTACGAAAGAACTGAGTCGACCATGTTAAAGAGCATCAAATTCTGGCCAAGATTCATGTCTTTGAGAAATCTTTTGATGAAAAATGGGTAAAAAATTTAGCATAAAATTTGTTCGCGTTTTCGAAAAAACTCTACTTTCATTCATGTTTTTGATACTTGCACGAAAACGCATGCTGTTCAGTAAAAAAGCGTTACTTTTTGACGATTTTTTTTCCTTTGAAAGCTAGTACACTCGACTACATCCCTGTACACTCGTTCGAGTCATGCAAAGTTTTGTTTGCGGTAAGTTTGCGTGAAAACCCAAATTAAGGCGTTTTGGACGAGTTTTCGGAAAATATCGATTTAATAGGTGAAGGCCACTTTCAAACAAAATATTTTCAAGGATATCGTAAAGAGCGTATCTGAAAATGCCAGCAAATGTTTCTCCCTTAATTTAAGCCTGCGTATAAATTGTCGAAACATACTCCAAATGTTAATGCATTTTAAGCTGGAAAGTTGAAGATTTTCGGACGTCTTTTCTTCGTTTTAGAACTTAGCCATTTTGTAGTTTACAAAACTCTTCTACACATGAGTTTGTTGACAACTGAATGACGATTCTGATAAGAAAAAACTGGCCCGATCAGATTTAAATCGACAGAGTTATAGAGGCAACAAAATAGTCCGTTTTATTCTGCGCCACCCGTTAAGAAAACGAAAGAGAAATTCATATGTGCAAATTTCGCGTGCGTTCACTAAGAAGAAAAAGACTAACTATTGCAACAGTCGATACCCTTATATCAGTAGCGAACCGAATTTATTGTATTCTTATTTTAACTTGAAGAAGTTGAAGGATAACTTGCAGAGCATGAGTTGAGAGATGTGAATGGAATTCTGTGTACTTATTTTGAGCTCAAATTCGAACTAATTTTGAAATGTGTTGCATCATATTCCCGAAGAGAAAACCGGGTAAAACATGGTGGAATCAGAATCCCAACTGTCATAAGAAAATTCATCCAAGATTAGTTTTCTTACCCATAAAAGTTGTGTTTTTTAGTGTTCTTGTAGCAAGAAACGGGCTTTCATACGATGGAAAAATAAGGTTTCTACCTTTCTTAAGTCCAAGACCTTGACAACGAAGTAGAAAAGTTTTTTGCAAGATTTTTTCTTGTCATTAGAAAATCTTTATGGCGAGACTTGATTTCATTATGTTCTCGAAGATAAGTCCGAGTAAAAGATCTTGTAAGCAAGGCTGCAAAAAATGCAAAAAGAATTCGCTCGTCTAAAGAATAATGGACTACGTTACATTTTTGTATTCCTTACATGTGTTTTTCTTCTCCTTTGCTTAAAAGGAGAGCGAAAAACGTTTTTGTCATGATCCTACTGATGATGTCCTTGGAAAAGGCGAAACTAGTATCAAGTGAAACAGCTAACTTCATTATGTATAAGGTGGTGTTAGTCTTATTATCGATTTTGAAATTCTTCACTATTGAAAATGATTCAAAAGCCACGTATTTTGTCTGCTTAATTTTCGTTCATTCTTCAGTGGATAAGAACATGAAAACATGTGCTCTTTTCAAAACAAAATACATGGTTCGATTCGCTATAGTACTCTGAGTACACCTAAATAACGTTGAGAAGGTCATACTTCACTCGGTAAGCGGAAAAAGCTCGTCGAATGACATGTATATCAAAGCGCCATGTATTAGTATGAGAGTGTCGAAATTACGAAGAAAAAATACGTGGTTTGTTGGAACTAGGAAAGGACGTGAAAGCAAAAATTTCTAGATACATGTCGCTTCCTTTGTTCCCTTCCCTGTATACTAGAAAAGGACATATATAAGATGAATATGGGATATATTCATTCATCTAAACTAGGGCTGTGACAGTTACCAGTTACCGTTACCACCGTTCCTCGTTACTAACGGTAACTATAATTGACATAAAACTAATAAGCATCGTTCCTCCTTAGTAGAGGTAATGGTAATTGATATACAGTAAGAAATCTTTTACCCTCCAGTAACGAGGAACGATGCTTATTAATTTTATATCAGTTACCGTTACCTCTAGTAACGGAGAACGCTGGTAACGGTAACTGGTAACTGTCACAGCCCTAATCTAAACTAAACAGAATGTCCATTATATAAAGCAACTTCTTATTTTGTTATCGTATACTTATGCAGATCACTGCTCTGCCTGTTTTTCTTGTAGTTTGTATCTGCTACTGTTTTCCTGAACTGATCACATCATGTTCTCGAAGAAAAGTTTGAGTAAAACATGATGTAATTTACTATCCTAAGAAAGGATCTCAATTCCTGCGTCTACAATTTTGTTATCGTATACTTGTGAAATCACTTTTTGGAAGGTCTGTTTTCCTGATATGGCTTGTCGCAATATGATCTCGAAGTTTCGGTACGAAATGTTTTTGTGCTGATGTTTTGGTGTCTGAAAATACTGTTTTGTTCAAAATCGCTTTTTATGGCGTTATAAAGTTGAGAACCTGTACGAAGGCGCAAAAGAGTGACTTTTTTCTCGTGCAGTTTTTGTGTAGTAAATGCAATTGAAATTAGGACTTTACATGAAAAATTAATTTTTAATTTTTGAGAAATTTTGAATAATATGAGTTTATCTTTGTGAATATAAATTTTTCTTACATGGTTTGGACAGCTCCTTGCAAAACGTCAGACCTGTAATATTATTTAAAATGAATAATTATTCTTTCGTTCTATAAATATATATGATGCCAGTTTTGACAGAAAAATTTTGTTTGTTGGAAATTCACATGTGGCATTCCTACTAAATGTACAAGGGTTTCAAACCATAGGGATCCCGACTACATAGTTAGTTTCTCTACACCGACTCGGGCGCACAGGTAGGGTGTTCCTATATGTGTTTGTTTAACGAGGAAACATATTCAACTGTCCAACCGTTTTTTCACCAAACCTAGTAGAATATAGGTTATTGACCACGCTAACTCCGAATATCCATATGAGGCGGGCTACTAGGTTTCCTAGAGCGTTTTTTTGGAAAACCAGTTTTCCAGAAAACCTCGAAAAATCCCCAAAACTTTCTCTTAATAAGTCACGATTGTAGCCCACGAAATTCTGATCCAAATGAGACATCTCCCACCTCTGCACAACCTTTCTTTACAACGTTATAGAATTTATAACAAAAGCCCTAAATTCTGTTTTCCTTTTTGTCTCTGTGGCTTTGCGCTGATAATGAACATTTAGGTTCACCAGTTTAGTCCGAAAAACTGGGTATCGATTGAGCAACTTAGGTCGTCCTTACCGTGAAACGGCACTTAAGGGTACTCGATTCACTCATGGAACGTCTCTCAGACTCATGATCGTCACACTACACGGACAAGAAATTTTGGGTTTGGGAAATTTGCTCGAATGAAATTTCCTCGAAAGCGATATTCTGGAAAATAATTTCCTCGAACGGAAATTTCCTCGAACGGAAATTTCCTCGAATTTTCCAAACAGAAATTATCAGTATTATTTGCAGTGTATAGAATTATGGAATATGCACAGTCGTACAGATCAAGCAATGCTTCGAAGCAATAATCATGTTGAAGGGTGGCACAATAAATTACACAAATCGTTTCACCGTGAACATCCTACATTGTGGACATTTCTAGAAAAAAAAGTATACGATCATCGTAATACTTCGGCCGGCTTTACGACAAAATACGAAGAAATATGATTTTAAACGTCAAAATACCGCGTCGTATACGTCAAATTACGATGCGTATACGACAGTCGTAATCAACGTCCTGAGAGGTAGTACTTCTCCTAACTTTTTCCCTTATATTTCAAAATATTTCAAAATTTGTATTTTCTTTGCGTCACATAATAGGGTTGTAAAATGAAAGAAAATAAAACTGTTTGTACAATTTTTAACTATATTTGACAGAAAGCCATGCGCTTATCATGATGAATATATCATGGTATAATCGTTCACTACACAAAACATACCCCACAACAAAAATAACCCACATTTTAATTATTTTCAAATCCATTTTAATATTACAGACAACCCAATGAAATAATAAAAGTAGGGAACTCTGATCTATTCGAAAACAAAATGATCAAATAACTTACTATAGATCAAATATTAACAAAGATTTTCACCAGTATATAGTCAAGAGCTCTCTGTATTTGACCAGAAAACATATAAAACTAAGTGAGCTAATCTTGTATAATATTCATAAAACTGCCTTTGGAAGAACGGCACACTTAATATCTGCAGAACTGACCATAATACACAATACCAAAGTCTTCATAAACGAGGTGTGTTCTTACCCATTTTATGAACGTATTTTTCGATGATTCGAAAAAGACACAATGCAATGAACTTACAGAATTTTTACTCGGGTTTGCAGTTATAAATGAAATTGAAATAGTTATAATTCTCTATCAGGTATAGCCTCCAACTCGTGTTATAACCGAGTTATAATCTCCAACCCGAGTTATAACCTGATGAACTTTTTTAGAAATTTTCTTCTATTTAAACTTTTGAAAAATAGTTTTAAACCCATCAGTGAGTTTAGCTGTCAATGTAACAAACAATGGATGTCGTACTTTTTCTACCATCGATTACAAAGAAAATCATCCTTCTCTAAAAGCAAATTAACTCGACTATGTAGCATAGTTATTCGTCTGCAGAAACGACAGGGAAAATGCTAAATCAGTAGTAAATTACATAGCTGCACAATTCAGTGTAAAATTCTACAGATTTTTCAGGTAGTCGATATTGAAAAAGTCGTACCACGCGTCGATATTGTATTAGTAGAGTAGAGCAGGGCTGGACGGGTCCGAGTCATGTCTCAGACTCGAGTCACATTTGCTTAAAGACTCTGATTAGACTCTGACTAGAAAATTGGGTGACGTAGACTTGACTGTTTGACTCTAGTCATTCATTCAAAAAATTTTCATTTGCTCTTATAAAAAGATTACAATTTATAAGATTAAATTTTCACTTATTCATAACTTTCGTCGTGATTGAATATATTGCATCAGAACGATTTTTTCAAGAGCTTTTTTCTACCTATGTATTCATATGGAAAAAGTTGTAGTAAACGTTGATTATAAAAATAAATTGAAAACGAAAAAATGGAAAAAATAACTTGATTCGACTCGACTCGGCTCGAAATCGCTACAGAATAACTCCGACTCGAAAAGTGGCTTGACTTGCCCAGCCCTAGAGTAGAGCAACAGGAGAAGAAAGACCTCCAGTAAATGATGATGCTATTCTTCAACTTTATCTTTGAATACAGTCAGGCGATCTGATTGAGCGAATTAAAATTTCTGATGCTGGTTTACTGCAATCTTACGAATTCTTATAACATAATTATATACGTCATCTTACCGAATTCTTTCATACTCTTAAAAGATTCTTATATTGTCTTATATCAGAATCTTATCAATATTCTACGCATTTCCATCCACTGTCTTATATAAGATTTCTATACGATTTCTGTAGAATTGCCGTAAGATCGGCCGACTAGGGTCACAAGTCAAGTCTTTTCAAAAGTCTGAGTCACAAAAATATTTACCAAGTGAAATCACGTCAAAAATGACTTGACTTGACTCAAGTCATTTTTAACTTCACTTGCCCAGCTCTGTAAAATAGACACTTCTATAAGTCTCGATGAGTGTGACCAGAACATGTGACAAGAGAAAAAATGTCTGTCTTTCCAGTGAATGTACATGCGTACATATATATATATATAAATGATACGAGAAATTGAATAAGTTGAAAAAAACGAGAGTTAAGAGATGGGGATAAGATTGTGTATCTATAGTCTGTAGTACATTGTATCATGTTCCCGAATTCTTGTACAACAAACTGCGTGGCCACCTAACATCATCTGTTGAATCTGACGGTTCAAATTTTTGTTTTCACTCGAACAAAAGAAATCTATCATTAGATACGTTTTTTCTTGTGCTGATTACGAATCTGAACTCAAAGAAAATTTAAATTTTACATTTTAAATTCAATTTCCTGACCTAAATAGTTCTGGAAAAAAATCATCCAATAGAGAATCAAATTCTTCACAAAATCCCTCATTTATTTTCATGTTTGACTGCCAAAATGTATTTGGATTTCCTAGATTTGCTCCTGCAGTCTTCATGTTTAAGATGACTTTTATGAATGGATTATTGAGTAGCTTTGCCTAGCTAAAATATATCTTTTATCCAACTTTTTCCGTTTTTGTTGTCTAGAACCTCTCTTTCCGCTGGGAAAAAGACTGTAAATTGATGCTTATGAACTGCAATACAGATGGAGCAAAAAAGAGAAAAGTATCTGCACCACTGGTTACAAATTAAACTATGTTCTGATTTCTGTTCGTCGAGATCGTCGATACTTTAATACCAGATGCACCACCATGCTCATCTCATTAGACAAGAACTGATTTACTGTCTTAATAACATTTTTGCAAACTTTACTTTAAACAAATGTAAGCGAAAAAAGCGAAAAGTCATGATGAAAAGAACTTTGTCAGTACTGGCTATTAACCCCAAAGAGAAGAGTAAGAAGGCGCGCCACAAGAATTGAGCAGGGTTGCAGTATGAGCATCACGTGCTGCTGCCATGCTGGCAGTAAGGCTCCACTGACCTTAAGGGGAAAAGATTACAGCAGGACTTATAGTATTCTACCCGTGGTGGTGGTATAAACCAACTTCAATTCGAAGGTCATTCCATTGATCTTCACCCGTGCAGCTTCAAAAGCCTCAAAAGCGTAGTTCATGTGGAATCTATTAGATCATAGTAACAGAAAATAAATCAATGTGTACACTCACCACATAAATGAGATGAAGAACATGTTATATTTTTATCATTTCTACACCATTCATCATTTTGACATGATGAACCGTTGTACCCTTGATTTAAACACATCGATCCATTCCAATATGTATGGGGGGGACATTGACAAGTATTATTAATACATAATAAATATCGATTTATTTGACATTGATTACATGTTTGGTTATAGACTAAATAAAGTTGTTGTGTATATGCAACACTACTAACTCTTGATGCTGATGGGACAGCTGCTGATCTATTCACTTGACCAGTTGTGATTTCACCTTCAAATAGTCGACATCGTTTAGATAATGTATCATAATCGAACGTCCGACACAAGGAATTCACATTACATGTTTGTGCACAACCGATTTGTGATGATATCGAGATTGTATTTATTAACTCAATTGGATCAGCAGGTGCAAATGATGTACCGAAATCGCCAAGGTGAATACGCGACTGAAATTGTGAATAAATCAGATCGATGAAGAGGAACCATCGAAGAAAATACTGTGGTATAATTGAGTATCCAAGTATTTTCATGTGAAAGTTTTTCTTTCTTCGAATGTTTCTTCGTTGTCAATACTAGATATTTGAATAAAATTTGTTATCTTTTTCTTTACAGTATTAAGGTGAAAAGTTCTTTTTCAGATCTCCATCAACTTTTCGCGAACTATACTGCTTGCTGATTGTGAATTTCACAAGAGAAGTAAAAGAAAATGAATAATTTCAATGTCCAAAAGGTGTTTCATAAGAAAGCAGAAAGAAGAATTGTTTGCCATTAAAAGCACGATGTTGTGTCTTCCTAATTGAGTTTTAACCCGATAACATATATATATAAAAGACAATATTTCCTTTGTGAAAAAACAGTGAACTGTTGGGCTAGAATGCTTGATGGTTAAGACATGCAAACATTAAGTAGTTGCACATGAACGTATGTCAGCATTTGAACGTATGTTATGCCTTGAATATTGTAACAGTGTATTTCTTAAACATGGTGAAATATCGACAGATGTTGAAGAAACAATTACTTTACAGATATTTTAATATACGAATTTTTCATATTTCCTATTTATACTTTAAAATACCTTACGAGGGAAGGTCCCCAAGTGTGACCCTCAGTTTTGAATGGGATACACACCAGTTTGTAGAGCTTCACGAGTTGATCACAATATAAAATATCAAAACAAAAATAATGAACAGAACAGAAAAAAAATCACACAAAATAATAGACATCAGAATTTTGCATTAAACATTTTTGAACAAACAAAAAAAATGAACGCATCTCATTGACATAAAATTGACAAAACCGATGAAAACAAAAATCTATTACAAAGTAAAATAAAAATCTTAATAAACTGATTATGAGTTAACAACAACAAAAACAAAACAGATTTCTCCAAACGATTATTTCACTTTTATTTTAAACGTTTTCTGTTTTTTCTGTTTTTTTTTGAATTTTGTCTGCGTATTCTTGTTGTTTTTATTTTTTTAATATGGTTTTTAGACACAACAAGTACATTTATTTATTGAAGATACTTGAAAATTCTTTTCAGTAAACCCGTCTAAATGTTGTGCCTTTAATGATTATATCCTAGTCGAAAATTTCCTATTGTTCTCCTGAATTTTGTTTGCTCAAAATACAATTCCGTTAATAGTGCAAAAAGTGACATTTGTTCGTTAGTAATAATATTTTCTGTCTGTCTAATTAATGATGTTTAGATAATTTACTATAATATTTGAAAAATCGAATCTCTTAAACGAGAATTTATAACTTAATAAAAATGTAGTACGATTACTCTTCATCTTCTTAAATTATAGAAGGCACATCAACTAATTCTTAAATAAACTTAAGCAATTTGTATGTGTAAGACCTTGATAAAATATCAAAAAGTAAAAAATACTGCTTATAATAAACTATTGTGCATTTAATACTCGTGTAGTTATCTCTGTTTTTTTCATCGTCACAAATATTTTGTCTACTGATCTGTTGAAATTAAACAATTATTGTTTTACATCGGTATCATTTCGATAATTAGATCACATGTATCTTTCTTTATTTTTTCTTGTTGTTACTTTTACAAGAGTCGAATTAATCATATCATTTTGTGAAAGTTTTTCTATGACTTTCGTTTTTTTATTATTTAAAAATTCATTTTATAAAAATATTAATTTCATTCTAAACTATTTGATGTTTTCATTCATTATCAGATTCAAAATCGAAACATGCCAATTCAGGAAATATTTTTTACTATCTCATCTATGCCTCAGACATGATTAATCGTATTTCTGCTGCATTTTCAGAATGCTAACACGTCTCTTGCCATTATTATCTACAAATGAATAGATTATAACTTGTAGAATTATTTCTTACATAAAGTGAATAAAATTATCATAATCCATTTTTTCATCCTTTTACGACAACTAAAAGAAAATTATTTGTTGTTCTGACTCGTGAATGTAGAAATAAAATCACACAAAAATCAAACGGCATCTTAAATCAGATTATACAAAAAATTTGACTGTATAAAGAAACTCTGGGCTAAATTAGTGACGGATAATATCGTTCGATGTCGAATTATTTATGTTTCGGTCAGTCGAAATTAGAACTGCAGTTTGAACTTGATCGAAATTGAAATTTATACTCGTTAGAAGATGCATTCCTTTGGAACCTTTCTGCTTTATTTTGAAATGGATGATCACATGCGTACACACATAACGATGAATCTATATACAGACCAAAGAGACAAGAAAATACGCGCATATGAGAGAAACGTAAAGTTCTAGTGCAATCACTTGTTTAGATATGTTTCTATAATAACTCAGGTTACAAGAGGCTCGCTTGAGCAAACGTTTTCCTTTGCTTTCCCCAGTACTTTGCCCACTTCCACAAAAACTTTTTACTTGATACGTCCTTTCGTTGCAAAGTTATGGGACTCGAAAGTTGAAAAAACTTAATTTTCTGATGACTCATCATCTGAAAACTGAATTTTTGATTATATAAAAAGATATAAAAAGAAAAGGAAAG